AGTCTCAGCGTCTGCGGATGTTATGTCAGCTTAGTGCTGAGCTGCTTGAATCAATTAGCCAATGAGAAACCATAGTTTCCTTATGTGACATGGAACAAAATGGAAGAAAATGCAAATAATTTTGTCAATTTATATGTTGTTGTTTCCCAACGTGTGTGGGGAAAATACATAGCTGAGCTAGCTGCCATGCAAGGCGGTTAGCTGAGCAAGTTCTCTCGTATGCGGCAGGCTTTACCTATAAATGGCAGTACCCTAGTATTATATACATGAACTTGTGGTCGACAACTGTCCTCTGTAGCTCAGTTGGTTAAAGCACTTGCACCATGCAGAATCGCAGGGCCACAGGTTCAATTCCTGCCGGGGACCTAAATACAAAATTTCCACTCGATAATTTCCATCTACATTACCCATCAATCAGCATTAGTCATTAACCTGATAACATCTTTGAATGTGGTACATTCTGGCCACTTGAGTTGTGTTTATACATTAAACTGAGACCCCAAATATATTTTAAATTTAATATACATTTGATAAATTTTATATCATAATATAGCATATAATATAGGCAACAAAAATTCAATATCAATATTTTGAATTTAGGGCCGATATGGATGTTGGTGCACCACTACCAAAATCTACTGTAGGCCACTGTAGTCTGTGGATTATTAACCTTCGGGGTATGTCAAAATAATTCAATAGTGTGTTTGCATACCAAGAGATACCAAAGTTGGTCTGTTGCATCGCATGTGCGCCTTAACTAGACTGTACGTGTAATTTGATAAACATAAAAGAATTATAAAACTCAAAATTATAAAACTCCCTAATTTAAAATATATAAATTTTATACGTCGTGTTGTGTGTGTCACAATCCCAGGAACAAAAGTTCACAAAACATAAATAATCTGGCCACCGTTTCAAAATAGATTTGATGTATATATCACTTACTTTTTCTATGTCCAAAGAAACGTTTCCAAAAGTGAAGTGATGAAGTCTGCTCTCTGTGCTCACAGTGTGCTGCGTCTTTATTCAATTATCGTTCGACATAGTTCTACATATTTCTACAAACTCGCAACTGATCGCAAGTCGCAAGCCAAGCTCTCTACTTGAAGTTGAAGTCTTGAACTACTTCCGTCTTTGCTTTGGCAATCTAGTTTGGCACAACCCATTTGAACTATCAAATAAACTGGAAGACTGACCACAGGGGGCAGAAAAGTAAGATTTAACAAATATAAAACATTTTCCGTGTTGATATACAGTTATATCAACACGAGTGGAAATTGGGAAAACGAGAAATTGTGTGGAAACACGACGCCCGAAGGGCGGAGTGTTTTCACCACTGAGCTGTATAATAACTGGAGGACCTGCTCCTATCTCTCGTCAGTCAAAAAAGTGTCGCCAAAAACATGGCGGATTTTGACGCCATATGACGCCATTTCCATGGCAACTGGTCCGAAAACCTCATGGTAATAACCACTGACCAGGCTCAATTCTGAGCCCACGGCAGTTTTCACACCCCCCTGGTTTTTTGCAAAAGATTTGGTTTTTACAGATAAATATTTATAGTTCTCGTTGTTTTAAATCTTTTGTATAAATTTTGAGATATATTTACTACCTTTGACCATTTGGTTAAAGGTATACAAGTCGTACGTGTTATTCTCGCCCGCGAAAGCCAAACAAAACCTCGAGAAATGTGGGAAAAGAGTATAATTTAAAGACGATACTTGAGTCGGGTAAAAGGTAGGAGATGTCTAGTCAATTTTACTCATTCTTTATCTTATTTGACATGAAATTGGTAAGCCTAACGATGAAATACACTTCATTTGTTAAGAAAACAAGCTTTCAGCTTTCTACAGTCCAAATTTCATATTGTAAGGTGTAAAATTTCCCATTATTTTAACAAGCTGTATTCACAAATATTTAGTTCTATGTAAACAACACAGATTTGATATTCACAAATTTGTACGATGGTATACGTCTAAACTCACTAAAGTGCAAACTATCTTGTGTAATAATGTTAAAAAGGTTGACTGCAGAGACCTGAGGTCTCGTTTTATTACTTTTATAAACATACACTTGATGAAACTATGTGTTTGTAGGTTTGAGTTTAATATGCACCAACTTTTGTATAAGTTACTGGGGGTACTGGAAGCTAGCTTATCCAGGAAGGTAGACTAAGTAGTTTCTGTCTACCTATAAAATACTGATTGGGGACACTTTTTGTGTCATTATACACCTGATTATAAACTCCTTAAGCTTTAAGCACCAGTGCTCTTCCCTTGACAAGTGAAATTGTTTGTTTATCAATTTATATAAAATAGGGTGCACTAGTCTAAGGTACAATGCAACTTTTAAAACAGTTTAATGAAAGCATTCCTAAGCAGCATTGTATGTAGACCTTTAAGATAGGAATAAACCTGCAGCTATCAGTGATTCTGATGCAGTGTTCAAACCAATTTATACTGATCAGCTACTGTGTCGAGCTGTAATTGCAAATTAATTCATGTAAATATCATAAGGTGAAGCCTGTAGTAAGGGTAAATGTCAGGATTTTGGACATCACACTCAACAGATTGTTAAATATCAAAGGTAGCGTCACTAGACAAATATTTTAAGTGTCAATTTTATGCATATTTAGACCTAACCAACCTAAAAAATATAGTTGCATCTTTTGGAGCTGCTTTAACCAGGTCTAAAAATGTACAAAATTTACACTCAAAGTTTTCATCGATCTACAAAAATCCTTCAACATTTAGTGATGTACATCAGCATTGCCATGTAAAACCCTTTTCTCACCAAACATGCTCTTACTGCATGTAATAGTTGGTGCATGGTCAACATAGGAATATTTGCACAAGAATAGACATTACCTCTCAATTCTATATTTTTCTCATACAGAATACATGGGTCTACTTCATTAAATTAAATTAATATGTAGTTTTTAGATAATAATTAAACTGCTTTATATTTTTTTAGACCAAGAAGTGTTCTCTTAAATTAAGGGAGAGGTATTGTCAGTGGCAAATTTGAGGAATCTGATGCATTGGTGGAATATTGCATGTGCATGGTCATGAAATTATACTTCAATGCTGCAATCCTCAAGGTCTGAAAATTGGAGGTTTTGTACCAACCTCTGCTAGGGCTTAAATCAAGATGTGCTTAAATTAAGTAACACTACTAGTTTTGTAAAGAAAATGAAACACTCTTGATGACATATACTAGATTTGTTGAAATAGTTGAACTGAGGCAATGATAGCAATTCAGGCATTTTTGGGGAACATTTTTAAAAATGTACTTGTTTTTAAAGAGTAAATTATTTTATATTTGACCCATAATTTTCTCAGAACCAATCCAATATTTATCTTATATTTTCAGAGGTCAAGTATTACTAACAGTGATTTGAGCTCTAGGTGTGGA